CTCATACCTGTAATCCCAGCACTTTGGAAGGCTGAAGCAGGTGGATCACTTGAGGTCAGGAGTTCAAGACCAGCCTGGCAAACATGGTGAAACCTCATCTCTACTAAACGTACAAAAATTAGCCCAGTGTGGTGGTGCAAGCCTGTAAACCCAGCTACTCAGGAGACTGAGGCACAAGAATCACTTGAATCTGGGAGGCAGAAGTTGCAGTGTGCTGAGATCGCCCCATTGCACTCTAGCCTGGGTAACAGAGTAAGTCTCAAAAAAAAATTAACCAAGTGGCCAGGCACGGTGGCTCATGCCACCAAATTAGCCAGGCATGGTAGCAAGCGCCTATAATCTCTGCTACTCAGGAGGCTAAGGCAGAAGAATTGCTTGAGTCCAGGATGCGGAGGTTGCAGTGAACCAAGATCCTAGTTTCCTAGGACAATCAAATTGGGAAGGGAACCAGAAAAATTCCTGGTTCCAAAGATCCCACATAATAGAGGTAAAGGATAAGAACTCTAAAATCAAACAGGTTTAGATATGAGTCCCAGCTCTGGCACTTACTAGTAGAGTGACAGGGCAAGTCACTTCAATGCTGAGCTCAGTTTTCTCATCTACAAAATGGACAACAGCCTTCAATCTCTCAGATATAAGGTTAATGACTTAATGAAATACAGAACATAACACATCTCCTGGGTTATTTTTTGCTACTATTATTTTACTATTGCTATTGGTTTACAAATATTACTAAAAGTTACATGAATAATAACTTGAGAGGGACCAAATATTTAAATGGCTTCTATAGTCCCTTCAGCGCTAATAATTAGGATTCTACTATGTTGACAACAATTAATAATTTTCTTTTTGTGCTGGGCGTGGTGGCTTATGCCTGTATTCTGGCATTTTGGGAGGCTGAGGTGGGTAGATCACCTGAGGTCAGGAGTTTGAGACCAGCCCGGCTAACATAGTGAAACCCCATTTCTACTAAAAATACAAAAATTAGCTGGGCATGGTGGCAGGCGCCTGTAATCCCAGCTATTAGGGAGGTTGAGGCAGGAGAATCGCTTGAACCTGGGAGAAGGAGGTTGCAGTGAGCCGAGATTGCACCATTGCACTCCAGCCTGGGTGACAGAGAGAGACCTGGTTCTAAAAAAAAAAAAAAAGAAAGAAAAAAGAAAAACACCTGAATCTTGTGTGAAACCATAACATTAGGGACCTAAATAACTCTAGCCCCAACAAACTGCATTCATGAAAAGTCATTCTTGAAAAAATACTACCAAAGGGTCAGGAGGGTAGAATTTGTAAAGGAATAATAACATGGCTTTGTCACCTGCTTTGCTCTTTCTCTGGGGTTTCTTGGTATGTAGTGACCTCTAGCTTGAAGCAGGTTGTAATAAGCCAATCCTAATCTCTAAATTTGGGAGATCCCCCTAAATCTTTCCACCTGCTCCCCTAATCAGACCTCTGGCCAAGTACATGGCAAAGAGGGGTTTTATGGTTTGGTACAGCCTGTTTTTTTGAGATGGGGTTTCATCATGTTGGCCAGGCTGGTCTTGAACTCCTGGCCTGCCTGAAGTGGTCTGCCCACCTTAGCCTCCCAGTGTGCTAGAATTACAGATGTGAGCTGTCATGCTGGCCAGAACAGTTTTCCTTATCAGTTACTATGGAAAACAACTCAGTATACCTGGGATCCAACAGGCCTTGCTCCACGCCCCAGGCCATCTCTCTCACGGCATTGCTGATCTCATGATGCGAAACAGACATTCAGGAAACACCTGAGGAGGTAAGAAGAGAATAATTTATCAAAGGGGGACAGGGACTGATGACTGAAGTCACTGATTATAGAGCAGCACTTCCAGGCTTTCCCTAGCAAAACAAATACACACTGAATGTTAACCATGGATACCTCTGAAAGGTGAAATTATGAGTTTTTTGTGGTTTCCAAGTTTTCTTGGAATAAACATGTTACTAATTTTATAATAAGACAAATACTAAATGGCTCCTTTTTTTTTTTTTTGAGATAGACTTTTGTTCTTGTCACCAGGCTGAAGTGCAATGGTATGATTCCAGGTCACTGCAATCTCCACCTCCTGGGTTCAAGCGATTCTCCTGCCTCAGCCTCCCAAGTAGCTGGCATTATAGGCGCATACAACCATGCCTGGCTAATTTTTTATTTATGTTTAGTAGAGACAGGGTTTCACCATGTTGGCCAGGCTGGTCTCGAACTCCTGACCTCGGGTAATCCACCCGCCTCGGCCTCCCAAAGTGCTAGGATTATAGGTGTAAGCCACCATGCCCAGCCACTAAATGGCTCCTATTGCCCTCCTAACCCTCTTCCCTTCTACTGTACACTGGCTTTCAGAGGAAGACTCCACTATGATACTGGCACAAACAAAGGAAAATAGGAAGGAGATTTGATGTAAAACAAGTCCACTGCCAAAACACACATTATATTTCAAAGCCTTACATCATGGAGTTTGGATTATTGAACTCTATTTCCCCTGTGCATCTGTATGACCTCCCAAGGTCATCCTATCCATAGGTTAAAGGAGTGGAACAGAAAAAGAATTTCTTGAAGGATGTCTTCAGAGACAAGGATGAGAACTGCTATATTCTGACCCCATCCCCTGTCAAGCAAAAAAACACACATATTTATTCTGTGGGGGATGGGCACAGAAAAGAAAGAGAAACTGTGTATATGTCAGTATGTACACATATAACATGGTATTGCAGAATCATGTCTGGTGTGCCCTGCAGACGGAAGGGGAAAGTTTCTAAGCTGCTCCACCTACTCTCTCATTGCTCCCTGCACCAATGCCGACCAAGGAAGGCCCAGGATCTCTCCCTAAAGCCAGCAGCAAGTTAAAGATTGAAACAGGTCCCTAGAGGAAAATCTGTGAACTTACTTGTTATAGTTCTTCGTAGCCTGTACAGCTTGTGCAATCAGCTCCTGGAGATCCAAGGGTAACAAGTGCAGATCACCCAGGACCCGGATACACACCCCATGCTTCTGCAGTTTCTCCCTAATTAGGGAAAAAAGGCAGTGTTGGGATAGAGCCCCTGCTGAGCTGCAATGAGCAAGCTGCTTAGGTAATAACTGATCACCAGTTTTTTGAGTGCTTTCCTATGTATCAGACACTGTTCTACATGTATTATTTCACTGCATCCCCTCAACAACTCTCAAAGAAGCTTACTTCAGTGCTGAGGCTCAGACAGGACAGTCAGCTAGGGACTGCCTAAGGTCATATGGCCATCAAGTGCTCTGGCAGGATTGAAACCCAGCCTGTTTGATTTGAGAACCCAAACTTTTTTTTTTTTTTTTTTTTAAGACAGAGTCTTGCTCTGTCCCCCAGGCTGGAGTCCACTGGTGTGATTTCAGCTCACTGCAACCTCTGCCTCCCAAGTTCAAGTGATCTTCCCACCTCCGCCTACTAAGTAGCTAGGATTACAGGTGCCCACTACCACACCTGGCTAATTTACATATTTTTAGTAGAGACAGGTTTTCACCATGTTCTGGTCTTGAACTCTTGACCTTAAGTGATCTGCCTGCCTCGGCTTCCCAAAGTTCTGAGATTACAGGCGAGAGCCAGAGCACCCAGCCCCAAACTCTTTTTTTTTTTTCCTTTTTTGGAGACAGGGTCTCACTCTCACTCAGGCTGGAGTGCAGTGGTATACTCATGGTTCAATGTAACTTACAAATCCTGGGCTCAAGTAATCCTCCTGCCTCAGCCTCCCAAGTAGCTGGGACTAAAGGCATGCACCAGCATGCCCAGCTCATTTTTATATTTTTTGTAAAGATCGGGTCTCACTATGTTGCCCAAGGTGGTCTCAAACTCCTGGCCTCAAGTGATCCTCCTGCCTGAGCCTCCCAAAGTGCTAGGATTACAGGTGTCAGCCACCATGTCCAGCAAGAACCCAAACTCTTGACTGTGCATCACATGACCTCATGTGTCTTTGTTGGGAAGCTGCTTTTTATGTATCTTTGAAGTTTGTTCCATTTGAGAAGTGAATAAACTCCTCAAGGAAAGGAGCTGTATTACTGGTTACTTTTGTTATGTTCTAGTGAAGTATGATAATGATGACAGCTAACATTCTATGTTTCCTAAATGCCAGATACTGGTCTAAGTGCTTTATATGTACCAACACACTCCATCCTTACACTAACCTCTGAGATACATACCATTATTATTCCCCTTTTACAGATGAGGAAACTGAGGCACAGGGAGGTTAATATGTTCAGACAGCTGATGAATGGAGAACCAGGATTTGCACCTAGGGAGTCAGCCTCCAGAGCTTGTCTTCTTAATTATGACATTATATTGCTTCCATGCAATAACTCCCAAAATCTGCATACAGTAAGAATGAATTCAACCAGCTTCTCTCACCTGGAAATGCTATGCAGAAACTGAATGCTTCATGTATAAATGTATACAGAGGTTCTACCTAGTGGATTTTAATTCCTGGTTTCAGTTTTGCTTGAGGCCAGCTGTACTTGTTCTTGAATCATGTAACACACCTCAATATCCTCAAATAAATGCCCCTTTTTTTATTTTAAAAATAAAAGGAAGAAATAAAGACTACCTTCTATTTCTGATATTTGCCACCCAAGATATCTAATTAACATTAAAAAGAGTTGGGAGTCCCTTAAGTAAGCCTCAGATAAGACTTTCAAGGGTTAAGATAAGGCTGGGTATGGTGGAAAAACATGCTCTCCCTTATGATAGCATCTTACTGTTCTTCCATCAAGCGGCTGAACTTCTGCCGGGCCAGATCCATAAGCCCATCTACCTCACTCTTGGATCGTTTGAAGTTCTCAATGCTGAATGCGTAGACTGTCACCTCTGGGATGCCCAGGTTCAAACACCACCGCAGAGTCTGAGAGGGGAGAAGGCAAGGAGCTAGGATACAAGGAAGATTGGGAAGGGAAATAAGACATACTTTTTGGCCCTGACTCAGAGTCGGAGATGGGAGACAGACTTTTCTCCTCGCCAAAGCTGGGTAAAGCTAGGATAACACCAATGTTTATGTCAGAATTAACTAATCAAATTAGCAGAAAACCACCACTGAAGAAACTGAAAAATGTGATCTTAGTGAATGTTGATGGCATTGTGCATTACAAGAAAGAACTCTGCACTGAGAGGGTAAAGAACTAGGTTCTAGTCCCTGACTCCATCATGCACTTGCTATGTTACTGTAATCAAATCATTTAATTTCTCTGGGTTTAAGTCTCCTTACCTGTAACACGGGATCACAATCCATCCCTTACAAGGTGGCTAACGAACAATATACAAACACAAGGTGTTATTACTCACAGCATAACTTCATTATTCTTGTAGACTGAGGGACTGATGAGTTAAAAGAATAAAAGCAACAACTGGACAGCTGTGTAGCATTTAATAGTCCGCAAAGGGTTTTCACATAATTTCATTTTGATTCTTTGAACAACCACTTTAAAATGACACTATTGTTTTCATGCTTACTTTATAGATGATAAAACAGGCTCAGAGTTGAAGAATATGTCAAAAATCCTCAACTCAACTGTCTGATTCTATCATATGGAGTTCAAGAACAGGAAAAAATGAATTTATAGTTACAGAAATCAGAACGGTAGTTGCCTAGAGAGGAAAAGGAGGAGGTGGAACAGAAGTTGATTGAGAAGGGGCACCTTTCGGAGAGATGGAAATGTCCTACATATACGTGTGTGTGTGTGTGTATACACATATATATGTTTGTGTGTGTGTGCTGTGTATGTATATATACGTGTGTGTGTGTGTGTGTGTGTATTTTTTTTGAGCTGGAGTCTCGCTTTGTCACCTAGGCTGGAGTGCAGTGGCACAATCTGGGCTCACTGCAACCTCAGCCTCTTGATTCAAGTGATTCTCCTGTCTCAGCCTCCCGAGTACCTGGGACTATAGGCATGTGCCACCAAACCTGGCTAACTATTTGTATTTTTAGTAGAGACAGGGTTTCGCCATGCTGGTCTCAAACTCCTGACCTCAGGTGATCTGTCTGCCTCAGCTTCCCAAAGTGCTGGGATTACAGGTGTGAACCACTGCACCTGGCCGGAAATGTCCTGTATCTTGATAGGGGTGTGGGTTGGATAAATGAATGCAATTGTCAAAACTTAAAATCTGTGCATTTCGGCTGGGTACAGTGGCTCATGCCTATAATCCCAGAACTTTGGGAGGCCGAGGTGGGCGGATCACGAGGTCAGGAGTTTAAGACCAGACCGGCCAACATGATGAAACCCTACTGCTACTAAAAAAAAAACAAAAATTAGCTGGGCATGGTGGCTCATGCCTGTAATCCTAGCTACTTGGGAGGCTAAGGTAGGAGAATTGCTTGAACCGGGACCCAGGAGGCAGAGGTTGCAGTGAGCCAAGATTGCACCACTGCACTCCAGCCTGGGCTACAGAGCAAGACTCCATCTCAAAAAAAAATAAATAAATAGGGCCGGGCGCAGTGGCTCAAGCCTGTAATCCCAGCACTTTGGGAGGCCGAGGCGGGTGGATCACGAGGTCAAGAGAT